ATGGTAAATCCAGAGAGCAAGTATTTGTGGTATATTATATATATATATATATATATATATATATATATATATGTGTGTATGTGTGTGTGTGTGTGTGTGTGTGTATTAGATTTGTGTATTTACTGCATGCACGCAGACAAATTAACTTCTTTTTGGCAATAAAAACAAAAGAAGAATTGCAAGCAATTAGAGATCACTGAGGAAGCCATTGAGATAACTTGACTGAAGAACTTTGTTAGATCTTGTCCACCCAATGCTCAACTTACCAAGTCTTTGGGAGGGCAATAAGTTGAAAGTTTGGTTGTTTTTAATTTCTCTCTCAAAATTTATTAAAGCTCACAATTTGCAATAGATATTTACCTGTGTTTTGGCTCTCTTCATGACTCACAATTATGAGAGAGAGAGAGAGAGACGAATTCTATGTTATTTGAGTTTGACATTAAAGTCCCACGGCCATAGTATCTGAATTTGGTAGTTGTAAGTTAACGACGTTCACATGAATAATGTTCCCTCCCATTTACTTCAATCACTGGAAAATTGGTCCACATCTTTAAACCAAGATGTTGACGTAAGAGAACATTTTGAATGATTCATTTATATATAATTAATTAATAAATCTTCTCCTTAATTTTCTAATATTTAGTATTTCTTTTTCTACTAAACATCAATTAGATCAAGTGTGTATATATCAACTACAATGAAGTAACAATCAACTCTCCCCGTGCAGCATAATTAAGCATTATAGAACAATAATTTTGTTTGTAAATTAATTGAATCCTTCCTAGCTAGATAATTCATCTAAAGAAAAAGTGATCGACAGCATTATTTCGGAAAGTTATTGCTTATGATCTCTCATTAATTGAAGAACAAAATGAAAATCTCTTTTTAATCGAAAACTGTACTTAACGCTACATATTAAGGTTTTATCGTAATTTAAAATAAACTACACCAGTAAATCAACATCTTCATGAACCATCTCTCTATATATATAGTATAAATGCATAATGTAGTTATACATGCAACACAGAATTCCATCGACAAGAGAATCTTTTCTCGAAGGGCTAAAGATCATCTTTTATCAAAGTACAATATGTATACTACTTCCCAGCTAACTTTCGAAAACCCACTTTGAAAACAACCACTGCCCAGCCTTTGTTTGTTTCAAAGGTTTCAAAAAAACAAAACAAAAGGGGAAGAAATTTGGGCTAATCCTACAAATATAGATGGTCCTAGAATTTTACCCCCATCTTATTTTAATCTATGATTTTTAAACTGTTCTAAAGTTATTTCTATTATATTAATGTGTTTCAGATTTAGTCATTTCTAATTAAGTGTTACAAAAAATGATAGAACCTACAGGTGGAAATTAACACTTTACTAATAGAACAACATCTATATTTTGTCATCGTTTTAACATCCAACTGAGGAAAGGTCTAAAACTAAATTAAACTTGTAGTTCAAGGTTAGTTTGGGGACATTTCAAAAGCTAGAGACCCACCCAAATCAGATTGGGAGGCCATTTGTAAGATTAATTGAAAAAGTTTTCACTCAAACTTTTTGTACTACAGTATTTTCTCTCACAAAAATTTATACAAATTTAAATTTGCCACAAGTCATTTTGCCCTTTGATTTTTTTTTTCTCCCCCTTTCATCAGAATAAGGCCCTTTTCTCCAAGCCTCGTATTTTACTTTCTGCTTTCATTTGGCAGTGTAACATGCGCAACTTGACCTTTATAACATGTTTGCAGTTCTTGTTCTATGGTACTTGTTTGAGAAACCCCACAAATAGATGAGAGAGAGAGAGAGCAAGCGAGTGGGAGAGAGAGAGAGAGAGAGAGAGAAAGCGGTTTAGTCCGTGCAGTTAGTAGGGCATGCATAGTACTTATAAGCTTAATGAATACCCCAATACTCACTGGCATCCTCATGAAGTGGTCCTAAATTTGCAAGTACTTCTATATCGATCTCTGCCATTGTCTTGTGTTTTTATCTCATTTTGCCACTACTTCCTCCACACAAAAACTCATTTGACTTTTTCCTTACCAATGTTTAATACCGTAGGGCCCTTGACATTGATACCCACTGGCTGATGTAAAAGCTTTTTGGCGACCCCCCAAATGCACAAACAGACACCATAAAAAAAATTTAAAAGAAAAAAAAAACAAATTAGAATATATAATCATCAAAGTACACCTCTATAACTACTTATAGAAACCTAGCTAAACACAAGCTTTATTAATTTCTCTTATAATATATATACATATATATAGCACTTCCATGTTGAAGTAGATTTTCCTTAGATTTCCTTTTGCAGTCTACTTTCGGAAAAGGTTGGTATTATTGTAGCCCAAGTGTCAAGTTGAGAAAAATTCTCTCTTATTTGTGTCTTACCTGAAAACCACTTCATTCACAAAGTAGTCAAGAGCAGGCTAGCTAATGGGGTCCTTGAAACTGATTTTTTTTTTTTGTTGGGCAAATTCCATTCATCATTATTAGCTTTCTTTGGTATCCTAAGAAATTCTGTAAAAGAAACCATTTTAAGCCCCTTTGATTGGATGTTTTAACCATTAGCATAAATTAATGATTTCTTTGTTGCTTGCCCTAGTACCCCACTACCATATATATTCATTTAGGATCCAAAAAATTGACTAGGAGATTTTAGGGTTTTTTTTATTTCTTTTTCCTTTACACACATATTTAATGGTTACTCTAATATTGATCAATCAATAAGTATCATTCTTATAACTATAAAATATTAATCCAACGGTTGTAATAAATTGGATAATTGACCAAAAAATTTATGACAATTAAAAAAATTGAATTCTTCTCACGTCACATTATCAAATTTTCATATTTAATGGGTAACCACAATGAAAAAATAATTATTGAAAACTCGTCCATATATATAAGATTTTCTCCTCAAGACAAATATCAGATGGGTGATAAAAAACATCACCTACACACTCATATAGCTAGAATATTCAAAATGGCTCTGATTGAAAATATTCATATTATATGAGTAAATTAAGCTACGCAACTACACACACACACACACACACACACACATATATATATATATATATATATGCACTGGCCACAACACTAATATAGATACACTACAATATTGGAATTTGGATGTTTTAACAAAAAGGGTTAACTAGGACTGTCAGTTGGAGTGTGGATTTAATATGATTTTGGTAATGTCATGTCACCGATGATAACCATCTTTAGCAAAAGATAACCTTATCATTTTCATTACTAGGAAACATAGGAAAGAAAATTTATGAAAGTAATTCCAATTTAAGTTTTTGTTAGCTAGGCCGATCATTTGAACCAAATCTTAATCCAAGGGATAAAACTTATCCCAATAGCTAATTAAGAATGGGAACCCAATTTGAGATGTTCTTGAGACAAAAGCAGAAACATGCCTGTTTAGAGAGGATCATATGCAAATATTCATGCTATTTCTTAAACACTTTTAAATTCAGGTACTCTATTTTCTTCCTTCAAAATCAAATTAAAAGGGACGTCATTTTAGGAGAAAAAAAATTAGAGGGCACGAAACTAAATAAGAGATTTGAGGGGTATATGTATCTCCCACGAAGAGAGTTCACGGTAGAAGGGTGGGCCAGTGAGGGCAATGAAAGTGGGCCCACTTTAACCAATTAAGAAGCCCAAAGAGGGCTTTTTTTTTTTTTGAGAAAATTACACAATTTATTCTGAGCCTAAATTTTTATCTTTATTTTTAATAAATACTATTTTATTAGTATAATTATTTAACTAAAAAGATTATAAACTAAAAGTAAAAGGTAAAAATCTTGACTCATGTATTTTTAAGAGGTATTTATCAAGATTATCTCATTTTTTAACAACAGCAAAGTTTGCCTGGCTTCGCGAAAAAACTGTAGCTGCTAGCAGGGATTGACGATAATCTTGCAGCATCCCTTGAATGTATTTATGTGGTTAAGGGTAAATAATTTTGTCCACCTATTGGAATCACCAACAAAATATGAATTATGGAAACAATACGCTTTATCAGAAAGAGATGTCGTTATAATGGCTATAACCAACAAATTAGAAACCTTAGAAAGGACATGTCGTTTTACATCGTGAGATGGAAAATAGTACTTGGGACGTCTTTAAAACATGGAAGGATAGGAAACTCTATAGATACACTCGACATGTTATTTATTCTGTCCAAACGACAGCCAATAGAGAACTTTTTATCATACACGACATGTCGTTGAATGTTCACTTTTTTTTCCCCCCAAAAGATGTGCATTTTAAATAAGCACTGAGTGGTTTCTGAGAAAACGACAGAGGATCTGGAAATGGCTTTCTGTTCTAATCGAGAATCTCAAAATTCAGAAGTCGTTTGGGAATCGAAAGACTTGTTTTGGAAGTGAACACTAAAGAATACCGCTAACTTATTGGTGCCGATATGGCCGCCGTTAGCGGCTGGTTTGTGAAATAATTACACACTTTTTGCCCCTCTTGCCCGAACTTGCTAAAAAAAAAGGACTTTTACCTGTTTATATCCTGCATTTTATTTACTATTTTGTACCCATGTGCAGAGTATAAAATAGTAAATAACCCGAATCATAAATACTCATGTTCACTTCGTGAATTCTAATGGTGTGCTTTCATCTTTTGGATTTGAACTTATATATGAATTTTTTGTGGTTTGAAGTGACATTTAATCATGTAAGGTCTAAACAGAAAATAAAATTTGAACCTATATTTAATTACATCACTATAACTATAGGCTCTAAGAAATGTGAGTAAAAATAGTTGGTGGAGAACGTTGGGGTGGGTTATTAATGAGCAAAATGGGTTAGAACCCATCAGAACGGGGGGTGGGGGTTTGCAACAAGTTGGGGAAAACCTTGAATTTGGGTTCAAATGGGTTGAGAACACCCAAGTCCAAGTCTAAATTATTATACAACCAAACAAGGGTTCAAATTATTTTTGAGTTCGAACCCTCCAACTAAACAGCTCAATAATTGAGAATCCGGTTTGGGATGTATAAAATAGAGGCCAGAGCAACACAGATGCCAGTATTTCATTTTATTTGGTGCACAATAGCAAGCTTAATTACATAACCAACTGAAGCAACTCCCCTTTTTCGGCTTAAAGGAAAAAAAAAATGCCCAATTCCGGACGATTAATTCTCTTCACATTTTATAATAGTTAATTTCTGGTTTCTGGGCATGTCCTTTCCTAGGGAATTCTGTTAACTTTTACCAGTATGTGCATTTCAATCCCCATCACTGACTATTTCACTTGCTAGTTGCTACCTCATAAAAACGTCAGGCAGAAACTGTAGAGTTCATCTCTTTGAGAATGCGGCAGTATGTACTGTAATCCGATGTGGTCCTGAATCCCGGTGTAAAATCCAAAAAGAATCTTAGAACTGCAGCTAGATTTTGCGAGTCGTTGGAAGCTAATGCCACCTCAAGAAACAGCGATGGTCGCACCGTACTGACCTGTGCCATTTACTCCTTTTGTTAGGTCAAACTTCGTGATACAACAATGAAACTCATGAAGGACATGAAAGAAAGAAATCCACCATTTTGCAATACCCTATTCGTATTACTAACAAGGAATAACAACTATAACATTCTTAACACCTAGAGGTTGGAAAAAATGGTTTGAGACTTGAGAGACACAAAACTCCATTTGCTATTTTAAAGTTGCAACGACAAGGTAGTATATCCATAACGTCTAGTTTGATGAGGAAAACCCAGCTATTCGGAAAAAGGAATATAGTTGAGTGGGAATTACCTTATGCTTCCTTGCATACCGTAAAGCTTCAAGGTAATATCCATCTTGAACTAGCAATTGTACATAGTCGTGATGTAACGAAAGCTGCCTTAGCATGTCCAGACCCAGTTTCCTCGTCTGGGAATTTTGACGACCAGACTCTAGGAGTTGCAATGCAACTTCTTTAGAAGGTTCAAGAATCTGACACGAAAAAGGATTTATAATTATTAAACCTCAAATTAAAATAAACCACATATAGCGAACTCCAATAACTACCAAAGCATGGTAAAAAAATTCAAACACATTGAGACCTTGTTTATGACGAACAATCCAAGCTCTGCATATAGCTCTCCACGTGCTAATAGTTGTACAGTCAAGACAGAGAGATTGGGATGAACTTTAACCTTTTCCAAATTGGCACTGCAATAGTGAATAAAAAAATGTCGAGTTCACGTGGACCAAGAAAGAAAAAGAATGGCATGAGCAGTGAGAAAAAACCAAGAAAAGTCCATTATAACTACGAAGAACTTGTTGAGATCATATGGGGACAATACATATCAGATTATACATCTGGTTTTTGTTGAAAAGCGTGTTTATTCCCTACTGTTTAGGAAATGCTATTTTCGGAAATATATGTAATCTATGTATGGTAGATTAGTTGCTGATTTGTAGCTAGCTGTAAATTAGGAGTTAGTTTCCTATTCTTTCTCTAACTAATTGTAACCTAATTGTATATAAAAGAGGCTTGTTACCTCCTATGAAATACAAGTGAGACTGACGGCTAGGTATTCTAAAACCTACCGGTTTCCACATGGTATCAGAGCCAACATCTGATCACCGGAAAAATTAAACTGCCACCATGTCTGGCACATCCAGCGTAGGTGATCAGTCGCCCGATTCTGGATCGGCGAGATCATCTTCGAGATCTACTCTCTTGTCAAATACTCATGACAATCTCTCTTCTCAACCAATCACCACTCACAAACTCAATGGAGAAAATTATCTCCAATGGTCCCAGTCGGTAATGTTATTCATCCGGGGTCGTAGAAAAACTGGGTTTCTGACGGGAGCTACACAGAAACCAAAAGGTCTCGAAACCATTGAGATCTGGGAATCTGAGAATTGCCTTGATCATGTCATGGCTGATCAATTCGATGGAGCCAGCTATCAGCAAGACTTATATGTTCCTTGCCACCGCTCAAGAAATCTGGGAAGCTGCAAAGAAGACTTTCTCTGATCTAAGAAATTCTGCCCAGGTCTATGAGATTACCACACGCATCCGCAACACAAAACAAGGCGATCTGAGCGTGTTGCAATACTATAATACGCTCAGAACCTTATGGCAGGAGCTAGATTTATTTTATGAATATGAATGGCACTGTCCACAAGACAGTGCCATATTCAAAAAGATGATTGAAAAGGATCGTGTCTTCGCATTCTTGGCTTGCTTGAACAACGAACTTGATGAGGTTCGTGGAAGAATTCTTGGACGTGAAGTCCTACCATCCACTCGTGAAGTATTCTCCGAAGTCTGCAGGGAGGAAAGCAAAAGGAGTGTTATGATGGGCAAAGAAACCCGAGAGGCTCCTGTCACTGAGTCAGAATCATCAGCCCTTGCAGTCAAAAGCAACAGGTTCTCCACTTTTTCTAATGGCAACAGGTTCTCCACCTTTTCTAATGGCGGGATTGACTCTCGAAATAAAAGGGGAAATAGACCCTTGTGCGACCATTGTAAAAAAACTGGACACACCCGTGAAACTTGCTGGAAACTGCACAGAAAACCTCCTCATCTGAAAAACGGACAACCAGACCAGGGGACTAGCAGAGCTCTTCAAATGGTCTCTGAGGAATCAAAATCAAAGTGCTCGTGTTTCCCTTAATAAGGAGCAACTGGAAAACCTTATGAAACTCAGGAATTCTACCTCCCTTCCATCTGCCTCTATTGCCCAGAAAGGTAATTTTCCTCAGTCCTTCAGTGTGCTAACCGAGGACAGAACCTCATGGGTTATAGATTCTGGTGCCTCAGATCATATGACAGGTTGTTCTTCACTCTTCTCTTATACTCCTTGTACTGGTAACTTGAAAGTAAAAATTGCTGATGGTTCATTAGCCACAATAGTAGGGAAAATTGATGATGGTTCATTAGCCACAGTAGCAGGGAAAGGTTCAATAATTTTGTCCAAAAATCTGGTCCTAAAATCTGTACTTCATGTTCCTTCTATTTCATGCAACCATTTATCCATTAGCAAACTCACCTACGATCAAAGTTGTGTTGCTAAGTTTAGCTCTTCTTCATGTCAATTTCAAGAACTGGCTTCGGGGAAGATGATTGGCAATGCTAAAGAGTGTGGAGGACTTTATTACCTAGACAAGGAAGACTCAAGTAGACAAAATTTAGTCTGCAGATCCTTTTCCGTTTCTTTATGTGAAAATAATGTTATGTTGTGGCACTATAGACTCGGCCACCCTAGCTTTCCGTATCTGAAAAATTTGTTTCCATCTCTTTTCAATAATAAAGATCCTGCTTCTTTTCAATGTGAAATTTGTCAACTCTCCAAACATCACCGTGTATCATTTCCATCTCAATCATACAAACATTCAGTACCATTCTCAGTAATACACAGTGACCTTTGGGGTCCCTCACGAGTTAAAAATTTTTCAGGTGCTAGATGGTTTATTACTTTCATCAATGATCATACTAGGCTATGTTGGGTATATCTCTTAAAAACAAAATCTGAAACAGAACAAGTTTTTAAAAATTTTCATTCGATGGTCAAAACTCAGTTTCAAACCCAAATTCAAATCCTCAGGACAGACAATGGGGGTGAGTATTTTAAAATTGTTCTTGGGAAATTTCTTCAAAGTGAGGGAATTGTTCATCAAAGCAGTTGTGTAGATACCCCCCAACAAAATGGGTTGGCTGAACGGAAAAATAAGCACCTACTTGAAGTTGTTAGGTCCTTAATGTTCACCACAAATGTGCCTAAAACTTTATGGGGAAAAGCTATCCTTATTGCATCATTCCTCATCAATAGAATGCCCACTCGAGTTCTAGGGTTCAAGACTCCCCTAGAGGCGTTTCAAAGTGTCTATCCAACAAATCGTCTGATTTCAAATTTACCACTTAGAATATTTGGGTGCACCTCATTTGTCCATATCCATTCTCATAGCAGGGGTAAATTTGATCCAAGGGCCATCAAATGTGTTTTCTTGGGCTACTCACCAACAAAAAAGGGGTATAAGTGCTTTGATCCAAAGACTAGGAAAATGTTTGTTAGTATGGATGTTTCCTTCTTTGAGAATCAGCCCTACTTTACCAAAAACTCACTTCAGGGGGAGAGTGTGAAAACAGAAGAGAGTTTTTAGAATTTTTGGGATACTCTTCCTACCACTGTGAGCCCTCTCACCTCAGTGCAAAAAAATCCACAAACTGTTTCCATTCCTCCACTAGATCACTCCTCCACTAGATCACTCTATTTCATTTCCTCAGGAACTACCCATTGTTGTGCCTGAGTCCACTCCACTCACTAAAGAAACTGGGAAAGAGGTCCAAAGACAAGAATTATTTGTCTATGAGAGACTGAAAAGAAAGGGAAATGAAGGAATTCACACTCCAAAGCAGAACCAGTCATTGGATCCACCAGTTCTTGATATTTCAAGTCTAAACCCTCCTGTCCCCTGCAAAAGTCCAGGTAATTCTACACCAGTTCAGGACTTAGATATTCCCATTGCCCTAAGAAAAGGAAAAAGAACAAGCACTTCTCATCCTATTTCAGATTACATGTGCTATAGTAATTTGTCTCCATCCTATCGAGCCTTTGCCACTAATCTGTCTGATGTAGTAATTCCTAAGTCAATTCAAGAGGCATTGAGTGTTCCAGAATGGAGAGCAACAGTTATGGAGGAGATCAAAGCACTAGAGAAAAATGGAACTTGGGAGTGTGTAGCAATACCGAAGGGAAAGAAAACAGTTGGGTGCAAGTGGGTGTTTACGGTGAAGTATAATTCGGATGGTTCTATTGAAAGATTTAAGGCTCGCTTGGTCGCAAAAGGATTCACACAATCCTACGGAATAGACTATCAAGAAACCTTTGCCCCGGTGGCAAAGCTCAACACTATTCGAGTTCTTCTCTCTGTTGCTGCAAACTTAGACTGGAAAATTTCCCAACTTGACATCAAAAATGCATTCCTAAATGGGGACTTGGCAGAAGAAGTATTTATGGATGTTCCTCCAGGTTTTGAAGACGTTTATGGTATAGATAATGTGTGCAGACTGAAAAAATCCCTCTATGGATTAAAACAGTCCCCAAGAGCCTGGTTTGATCGTTTTTCAAAAACAGTGTAGAGATATGGATACACTCAAGCTCACACTGATCATACTCTGTTCTTCAGGAAATCTCAGGACGGGAAAATTTCAATTCTAATCGTGTACGTTGATGATATCCTTCTTACTGGAGATGACACAACCGAAGGAGAAAGAATGAAGCAAATTCTAGCTAAAGAATTTGAATACAAGGACCTTGGACCCATGAGGTATTTTCTCAGTATGGAAGTTGCAAGATCAAAGAAAGGAATTTGTGTTTCACAAAGAAAATATACTGTTGATTTGCTCAGAGAGACAGGTTTTCTGGGGAGTAAACCAGCAGATACACCTATCGAAGAGAACCACAAGCTGGGATATAAGAAAGGAGAGGTGCCTGTCGATAAAAGGAGATACCAGAGGTTGGTTGGGCGTCTAATCTATCTATCTCATACACGGCCCGATATTGCCTATGCTGTAAGTGTGGTCAGCCAATTTATGCACGAGCCATATGAAGAACATCTTGGAGCAGTTCATCACCTTTTGAGATATCTCAAAGGAACTCCAGGAAAGGGGTTATTTTTCAAAAAGAATGATTCAAGGAAGATCGAGGCATTCACTGACGCAGATTGGGCTGGATCAGCCAGTGATAGAAGGTCTACCACTGGGTACTGCACATTTATATGGGGTAATCTGGTGACTTGGAGAAGCAAAAACCAACCAGTGGTTGCAAGGAGTAGTGCTGAAGCTGAACTTCGAGCTCTTGCACAAGGGATATGTGAACTTCTATGGTTAAAAAGAATCATGAATGAGCTATCACTTCAAAGAGAGAATCCCATGTTGTTGTATTGTGACAACAAATCAGCAATCAGTATTGCTCACAATCCAATCCATCATGACCGTACTAAGCATGTGAAAGTGGATAGACATTTTATCAAAGAGAAGGTCGAAGAAGGGGTTGTGTGCATACCTTACATCACATCCAACGGACAACTTGCTGATTTTCTAACAAAAGGTCTACCACGGGTCAGGTTCGAGGAACATTTATCCAAGTTGGAGATGATTGACATTCATGCTCCAACTTGAGGGGGAGTGTTGAAAAGCGTGTTTATTCCCTACTGTTTAGGAAATGCTATTTTCGGAAATATATATAATCTATGTATGGTAGATTAGTTGCTGATTTGTAGCTAGCTGTAAATTAGGAGTTAGTTTCCTATTCTTTCTCTAACTAATTGTAACCTAATTGTATATAAAAGAGGCTTGTTACCTCCTATGAAATACAAGTGAGACTGACGGTTAGGTATTCTAAAACCTACCGGTTTCTACAGTTTTATCTACGGAAAGTAGCGTTTATTTTCAAAGCCATGGCTCACTATTGGTTCCATAAATATGATATACCTGCGGAGAAACTCAATAATGATTGCAACCAAGTAAGAAGGATCGCCAACCATCTCTTCCTCGACAGGAGCAAAGATATAATTGTATATCTCGTCAGGTGAAATTGCTGGTGAAGTAAGTTGAGAGTCTTGTTGCTCGGAAGCATTAGCATTCAAAGGGTTATTACCAAGTCCAGGATTCTGAGATTGCAAAGACGACGCAGCACCGGACGTTTCACCACCCATCAGCCTTTTCATATCCACTTTACCATCAACATTATGGCCATTGGAACTGGTTCTTATTGGTTCAGAGCCCGAACCATCCCCAGAGTCTGAATTTGAGGAATCTAAAGATCTATTACGCAAATCATAGTCCAATCCAGATGCAGATTCATGTTTTATGGACTTTCCAAGTGCATCTTCTCTACTGACAGAATCATCGACACTGGGTCCAGCAGTAGTGACATTTGGCACACCTGAAGATGATGTCTTCTCAGGTTTTGGTGCCTTGATAGAGCTCCCTGTCTTAATTGAGTTGGAGTAGGAGGTAACCAAAACATCTATTGCTCTGGAAACCATAGAGACAGGTCTGTGTTCTAAAATGGCTGTGCGTGCTATTGACAAGCACAACTGTTTAGCCTGCAAGTAGAAGCGTAACAGAATCAACTAGTCACTAACAGCTGAAAACAAAAGAAACGCTAAGGAAACAACACGAGGAAATTTGTCCCTACTATAGTCACTATTGGTTATAAGTTCAAAACTCGAAAGCCATTAGGATATCTTTTTCTTTTTTTTTTCTTTTTTTTTTTTTTTTTTTTTTTTTA